ACGTATTCCTAATTATAGGATAAAAAATTAACCCAAAGTGCATATCAAATGTATAAGGAAGATTTTCCATAAGAGCTCAGTCAATGTGAAGTTAACTGCTAGTGAAAGAGATGAGAGGATTAGAAAGAGGGTAAAATGTTTGTGGCCCTGTACTTTGTCTGAAATGACAGTAAGACAACTTGAATTTGCTTTCTTCAGAGAGTAATGTAATAAGGAAATATTTCTTCATTAGAAATATTAGTAACTAAAACTCTCGGGGGAAAAGATAAAATAATTGAAAAAGGGAAAGTCAAATATGGTGTTATTTAAACAGAAAAAAAAGTAATTTTTAAGTGACAACTAAATGCACACTGAAAAAGAAAAGTATGTTTCCTCCACAGATTTTAATCCTGGTAACTCCTGTTGTACTCCTTTACTTCCAATTCTTCCTTCCTGGCTGTATCATTCATATTCCAGACCTGCTTATCCCCAACATCCATCAACTCATTGACACATTCTTTCCCATTTGTCCAGAGTTGATACCTAGTTCAGCATCTTCATTTTTACCCCGCCACTAAGTTCATTTATGTGACTATAAATACTTTTGATTTCCTTTTTCCCCTGTAAGCTCTCAGGAATTTGTGTTCCTCTTCACTATTTTCAGTGTAGTTAGTTCACCCCTAAGCCAGTAATTAGCAGTCTTTAAAAGAACAATCACATGCCATCTCTTCACTTTCTCCTTCCCAATTTTAGTGTCTTTTCATTCTATTTTCATTGTGTTCTTTGTACAAATTTGTACATGTGAACATCTTCAATCCCCATAGTCTAAAGTTATCATTTTATCTATACTGTGTTCTAAAAGTAAGAATCAGAAACAAGCCAACTGAAGTTATTCTAATAAAAACTCCAGCAATAAAAATTAGCTATCCATATGTTTGTGGGTAATAAGTGGTTGACATTAGAATGAAATAAATTCAATAAAAGATTGTGTTCCAGATAAAATCTCACTAAGAAGATGAACAAATAATAAGACAAAAAGAAATAATTCCAGTTAAAGATAGTGACCTTTCTAGAGCAGATTATCAACAATATTTAACACAGACCAGGTATGAGAAGCAGTAAGTTGGTTTGGAAATGAAAGGAGTGAAAAGATAATATTTTGACAGTTTATGATATTTAGCATTCGTAGAGAAAAGGACATAAACTTCAAAAGATTTTATAAAAGAATTAATGCTATAGTCCAGGCTGTCTGAAGATATACACAGGCTTTCCTGGTGACGCTTAGTCCAAGTGGATGGAAGACACTGACAGGCCAAGCCAAGTCCTCAAAGTAAAGACTGGCTAAAGATGTGTGACACTGGTCATGTAGATGTTATTATGATGAGCAACTATATGATGAAAAATGAGAGAGATAGAAAAGAAAAGTTCATGTGCTTTGGAAGAGGGAGAACTTAAGAAGTGTAGGTAGCGAAGAACAGGTTGGTTTGCTTGCTCTCCAGGGCCAAGGTGATTTCTGGGCCCAGGGTGCTACAAAGGCCATGTCTAAATCAGAACCTTACATCAGCCAGAGTCTGCGCTGATGTCCATGGCTTCTAATAATATCAAAGGTCATGCCTATGCCTGAGGCGTAGTAAGAGATCTGAGGTCGTGCTGGTGCCTAGAGGACATACTACTACTGCAGCCATACTGATCAAGGTGGCCTAGGTTACCAACTGTGGCCATGGTTGTGTGTGGACCTGAGCTGTTGTTGATGTCCATGGCCTGTGGACCAAAGGAGGCAATGGGTTCACTGGCTCTGGGTTACCCAGCCCTGCACCTTGTTATATATTGCAGCAGGAAAGCTAGCCTCTTACACTCAGGACAGATGGCTCCAACTCTCTACAAGGACACGCAAAAGCCATCCAACATGGCATGGGCAAAGGAGAACTGGCTCCACCCCTCATCTGAATGGGGACTTCCTAGGACCCCAGACTAGCCAACTCAGCAAAGACCTAGACCCACATCCTGGGTCTTGGGTTGGCCAATCCTAACATGTACTCCATCTATGACCTGCTAGAGAAAGTAAAGGAACTGGTCCTATTTAACAATAGCAGCAGGGTCTCTATGACTGCGGCAGCAGCAAGACATTCAAGAAGAGTTTTGGTAAGGGGCCAGTGGCAACGGTTTGCCAGAGGCCAGAAGCCTTGAACAAGACCAATGACTCAGTGCAATGAACATTTGCAGGTGGGGCTATTTGGACAAAAGGATATATGGCACACTGTAGCTCCCAAAGCCACAAATAAAATAAAGAGCTGTTGGAGAGATGGGAAAGATAGATGAACAAGCTGGTTTTATTGTTTTGTTTTTAATTAATTTGATGAGGTTATTTTTGGAGAAGAAAGTTCAGGGATGAGGGGTTGATGTAAAGAGACTAAAAGGTAAGTAGAATTGGGATTCATGCTGTGTAATTCCCAAGGAATCAATAAACAACTACATATCAAAAGTATTAGTGTTAGAAGCTTTCAAATGCAAGGAGAGTCATACATATTGATAAAATAATAGAGAAAAAATAGACCTGAAGATAAGACCTAAAAAATAAAAATCCAGAAAGGGTTTAATTTTAAAAAAAGATTTACAATGGCAGGAAGATATGAAAATAGGCTTGAAAATTATTAACTTGATCCTTCTATTAGGGAGAAGCTAATAGTAACAAATAGACATTCAAAATTGTATTATCTTTCTATTTCCCTCTTTGATACAGAATACACGTCAAAGAAAACATAAATAATGAGAATCATAACTCTTTAACACTGACAAGTTAGAAATTTCAGAAAATGACCTGCCAGTATTCATGCTTAGGATGAAAGAAATATGGAATTTGTAGTAGGAGAAGGTCATTAAAAATGCCAGATAAAGTCTCCACTATAGTAGTTACAGAAACCAATATTGTAATTTCTGTCCACATTTTAAAATAATATATTTGTACATAGAAACACATACTTAAACAGAAATATATGTTGTATTTACTCTATTTCTTTGCTGAGTAAAATAATCACCATTGACATTTCATCATTAGTTAAATGTTGCAATTTTTATTATAATATTTAAGTTATGGTCTATTAAAACATTAACTATTCCTCACAAGACATCATCACTTATTCTGGGGGAATAATAATGTCATCTTAGTAGTATATGACATCACATATATCTAGAGATGAGGAATTATCACCTTACACTCATTTGGAAATTAAACATGACAGACAGATAAGTATCAAGATAACAAAGGGTAGACTTGTGATAGAAAACCTTTTTTGCCAAGTTGAATGTTTCTGGAATCAGCTAACACATGTTTCTGTGTATATCTGTTAGAGTTTGTTCTGATATGATTAACTATAGAGAAAAGACTTCCCAAAGAGCGGCAGCACTTTACAGGAGTGGTCACGATATAAAAAGGTCTGAGGAACAAGTAGGTCTATATATTCCTTCAAGCATTAATTCATTATTGGTAAATGCATCTATTCTGCTACCATCAATTTTTCAATCAGAATCCAGACTTTTTGGGCAGTTGACATGGACTGAAGTCCAACACCTTTCCATGAATCCTGTAGGTCTTCTGAGAGAGATGTTGATGACTTAAGTTTGAACCTCATGAATTGAGTAGCTATCAAGTTTTCAGCATTTTCAATAGTCAGAAAGACCCTTTTAAATATATTTTCATTCTTTCAGCTTTGTTCCTCTGGAAAATTATAATGTAGTTTGTGATTCTAAGAGTAGCATTAAAGAAGCTGACTAGTTCTGGTAGAATCTGGATCTGGTTCTCTAATTCAAATGATTTAAATTCTAAGCATCTTTCTGGTAGGAGAGAAAATGGAAAAATCAGAAAATAGACTACTTGAAAATTATAGAAAGTGAATTTATTTGATAAGTCCTTGTTAATTACTTGTGAAAATCTATGAATTTAGTCCCTCTATATATAAAACGTTTGACCTTTTTTTTTTTTTAGTGAATGAAGGGGCTATAATGAAACTGGAAAGTTCCTTCTAGCACTCCCAGATAGAATAACAAAGGATACTATAATCTCAGGTGTGAAAATCTCCAGTGCACAAGCTCTATAAAGCTTTCTAAGTGTTCCCTGGAAGAGAATATTCTCTCTAGAAGCATCAAGACTGGAGGAGTTCCTAACCAAATTGAAGCTTCATCATCTTCATCATATCATGAGTTTAACGCCTAGTCTTAAAAGACGCCATCAGTAAAAGTGAAGGCACTGATCAGAAGAGTGGCAGCCAGTGGTTTTACATGGAGAAGTGTGGAAAGATCTGGACGAGGCTCAACGTTTTCACCATTTTGGTTTTGTTGGCCTTATTGTTTCCTCTGGAAATAGGCACCCCAGCACAGAAATTTTAGTATTATCTCCAGATAAAAGAAGGTACAGAACCATGTATGAGGTTATCTTAAGTCTCAGTCGTTCATTCCAGTTATGAGTGACTGTTGTCTGAGCCAAGACATGACCATGTTGGAAAATTCAGTTATGTTCCCTAGTAAAAGACTATTACAGATAGTGGTTTATCCTTTCAAAAAGAAGCAAACAGAGTCAAGAGATTCTTACCTGAGTAGCCACATGTTCCCTACCACCTGGTGTATAGAACAATGTCTTTACTGCAAGTGGCCTCTGTAGGATCCAGAATATATATATATACTAGGGAATTAGGGAAGGAAGTTCAATATGCAGTGATAAGGGGAAAGGAAGTTCTTATCCCTTCTTGGGAAATTATTCAGGTGTGGATTTTGGGAAAGGATTAACCATACCCCTGTCAGTCATTCATCAACTACAAACTACAAAGAAGCCTGATAAACTCATTGGGTCTCCAGACTGAATTTGGAATGAACTATACTTTGGATTATCAGTTTATCAACAGTACTTTAGAAGAAGGTTTAGGTGCTGCTTATGACTTTCCCTGGATATAAATTTTAGCAATAATACCATGCTCACAGCATTCAATTTGTAATTAGATAATAGAAATGTGCATTTAAAAAATACTCACCTTAAAGAGTAATTCAGAGTAAAGGCAGAATTTTCAGCTAATTGTGAAGAGTCCTTTAAACATTGCAAACACTCAAATTAAAATGTCAGTTTAATCAACTGGTAGATTCTCTTGGGGTAATTCCTTGGCAGAAGAGCTTCATTGACCAGATGTTGAATTTTTTTCAGTCTTGACACAAGCTGACTTCTTATTTAAGTGCCTAAAATGAAGGAGTCAGAGTATAAAACCTCCATATGGAATCAGATATTTTGGAAATCTTCAAGCCAAAGAAATCTTCTCATTGTAAACAGATTTTTGCATTGCCATCACAAGTAGAAAATGTAATTTAAGTTAAAAGTAGATAAAATGTAAGTTATTATGGACATAAAATAAAAGATATGCAAGTGTGACTGTCTGAGTGTATGTAGATATGTATGTAGATATGTGTGTAGAGGTGCATGTGCACACATAAGTATAGATCATAGCATGCATATGAATGCCAGAGTACTATCCATATTGGTTCTCTACCTCCACCTTGTGGGTCCTTGGGATCAAACAGAAATCATCAGGATTGGGAGCAAGCACCTTTTCAGGCCCCCAAAGCTAAGGGATCTTTACATCACCAAATAAAATGTCAGATCTCTGTGGAGAAGAACAGCCAATTGCTAAGACATGAATGTTAAAGCAGAAATCAAAAATGAGATGTGATTTCTCAAAAGTTAAAAATTGCAGAGAATATTTTTAGAAAAATGCAAACTGTCTAAGATAAAATACAGACAATAAAATGTAATCCTTAAAGTTATAAGACTTAGCAGTAAGATTTTTAGAATAATAAATTTTTATAAATATATAACTATAAAACTATATAAATACACCAAGGAGTTTAGAAAAATTGCAACTCAAAAAAACTATTCTTGTAACGATATAGTATGAAAAGCAGCAAAATGAACTAAGTGGAATGACACTGAGAATTTCAAAGATAAAAAAATGAAAATGAAAAGCGAAAGAATAGAATGGAATAAAAAGTGACTAGAAAGCTTTGAAAGAAATGCATTAGGCAAGAGTCTCATGTCTGACTAAGTCACTGTCTGGGTTATAGGACAATGGAAATGTATTTTTAGATATAGAAAGTATCTGAAAGCATTGTATCCATGCACACTTACTAAAATACAGTATTTCAACTAAAAGTAGCAATAAATTCAAGTTAAAAAAATTAATAAACACAGAAATTATAAAAGAGATACCTGAAATGGATGCATAAAGATATTGGCATTTTGTCATTTGTTTATATTTATATTAGAAAGTAGCTTTGATAATATAACAGAAAAATTTAAAGTGCAGAAAAAACCTTATAAGTAGGAAGGTATATGTTTTTAACATAAAGTTAAATATTGAATGGAATAAGCAAAATATACACGTGCTTCCCATTTAAGAAAAGAAAGGTGTAAAACATGACCTGTAAACCACAGCCCAGTACACAGATGAGAACAAATGTAAAATCTTGTAAAATGCTTTCCTCTTCTGTTGCTGTAGAGAGATACCATGAAAAAGGCAATACTTATAAAAGAAAACATTTAATTGGTGTTTACTTACAGATTTAAAGGGTTAGTACATAATCATCAAAGTGGGATACAGACAGATTTAGTGTTGGAGCAGTAAGAGATAATTCTGCCTCTTAATCCACAGGCATGATTCAGGGAGACAGACAGACAGACAGACAGACAGACAGACACACACACACACACACACACACACACACACTTCCCCTTCGTGTTCCTATTAGGATAGCCAATTAAGCACCATTTAAAGTGGTCAATTCCTTTTCAAGTCTACCTTTATTAGTCTTCTATTTATGTGAAGAGACACCAAGACTAAGACATGTCTAAAAAAGGAAAGAATTTAATTTTTGACTTGCATACAGTTTTAGAGGCTTAGTTCATTATCATAATGGCATGAAGCAGACAGACAAGTCATTAGAAGAGCTGCTAAGAGCTTTACATCTTGCTATACATGAAGCAAGCAGAGAGAGCAAGAGAGAGACTGGCCTGGCTTGGGCTACTGAAAACTCAAAGCCATTTCCCAGTGACATCTCTCCTTCTATAAAGTCATATCTCCTAATCCTTCTCAATACTACATAAGCTGGTAACTAAGCATCCAAATATATGAACCCATGGCAGGGAATTACAATTAGAACACTACATCCAAGCAACTGCATGGTTAGTCAACTTTTGGCTTTATTACTGTTCTACTGTTGTGAAGAAATATAAGACTTTATAGAAGAAACCACTTAGTGGGGTTTGCTTACAGTTTTAGATGAGTCCACCATATTAGTGGCAGAAAGGCATGGATCTGGAGACATAGCTGAGAGGTTTATATAGTGATAAACCAGCAGCAATCATACAGACAGAAAGAAAAATAGATAGACAAACAGACAGACAGATAAATAAGTACTGACTTTTGAAATCTCAAAGCCCACTCACAATGATATACACTTCTTCCAACAAGTTATGCCTCCTAATCATTCACAAACACTTCAACTAACTGATGTCTAAGCATTCAAATACGAGAGTGGGGGTTCTTATTCAGATGACAACAAATGTAACTTACTCTCAGAAGGTTCTACTCTTTAAAAGAATTTTTCCTTTTAATTTTTGTTTATATGATTTCTTGAATGTTTCTTTGTGGGTTTGTACATATGAATATTGGTATCAATAGGAGTCAGAAAAGGGCATTAGATCGTATGAAGTCACAGTAGATTCAAACTTTTTACAAGACAGCCATGTTCTCTTACAGTTAAGCTATGTTTGCAGCTCCATAAGCTTTGTTTTTTTGGGTAAACTCTTCCTGATACTAATGTCAGAGACTTTATACACTATTCAATATTTGCTTTTAATTTAGAGATAATGGAATACATCTTTATGAAGCATATTACTCTCAATTAGTTTTTTATCTTGCTATCAGATTATAGGGAACAGAAGTTTCTCTTCTTCCCAGATAGTTATATTATTTAAGAAAAATTGTACTGTCTCACATTCAGTCTTTTACTAGTTGCCAAACAATCTGTCTCCCCTATAAGTAGTTAGAGAGTATTTGAGAAAATTTAGATCCCATACTTGAAGACACTATATTGACATGAATGAGGGTAGGAAAGTAAAGTAACTGAAAAACAAAATTGTGGCTGTGATAATAATAATAATAATAATAAGTTATTAATATTGCTGTTATTATTTCTTTAGGAGACGAACATTAAAGCGATATCCAATATGTAAAACAAAGTCATTATGCACAGCATTGAGGGACATTAATTTTAATATTAAAATTTGTTCTGAGGAATGTTTGTATTTAGTGACTGCTGTGTAACATGAGGGGGCTGGCTTGTTTGTGTTTTCTGTCTCACCAGGCCCCCCAGCTGTTTAGTCTCAAAGGAAATGACACAAAGATCTCTATAAGTTATAATGCCGATTGGCCCGTTAGGTCAGGCTTCTTACTGGCTAACTCTCACATCCTGATTAACCCATTTTTCTGATCTATTTCAGCCATGTGACTCAGTACCTTTTTCAGTGGGACAGCTCACATCCTGCTGCTTCGGTGATCTGGGCAGGAGTGGGAGGAATCAGCTTTCCCCTCCCTAGCATTCTCCTACTCTCCTTGCATCATTTCCACTTCCTGTCTGGTTTTCCCGCCTACACCTCCTGCCTGGCCAATCAGCGTTTATTTAAAACATGATTGACAGAATACGGACAATTCTCCCGCACCACTGCTGCACATGGGAAAGGTAATTTTATTCAGCAATATGGCTATCAGTGTGTTGCCAGTATGTAATGGATGATGCCAATGGTCATCAAACAATGTACAGGCAACACTAACAGGACTCTGATTTGCTGAAGAAGAGATGAGGATGATGAGCAAAAAGAGGAGCAGAAAGAGGAGTTCAGAGGCAGAGATGTGAAGTGGTCCAACGTTGGAGGAGAAGGGTTATAAACAAAATACATAGTATTCATGTTTCAATTTATCAAAATACACTTTTCAAATTTAAAAATCTGGCAAAAAGATTTTGATGATAAACAGCCTTGGCAGGGGTATGATTTTGAAATTTGCCTCTTTATTTTAAATATGAGATAAAGTTATTTGATAGGTTTTTTTCCACTCTGAGCATCTTCTTTAGCTATGCTCTTCACAGCTCTACCTGCTTTCTCTCCCACTTTGTCAGGAAGGGGATGTTTGGAAACTTCACTTCTCTATTTTTCCTCATCTCTCTGTCAGCATTTTCTTTTTGCCTATCCAAACTGTATCAATGGATCCTCCAAGCCACTTTTGACAGAACTGCTCAGAGGGAAATTACTTCCAAATATAAATAGTTCAAGTCAAGCATATCTGCATATTCCCCACTGCAAATACAGATTTTTAATATACAGGCACTTATATTTTTCAAGCATGAATAGGATGCCAACTACTATCATGAAAGTAAAAAACGTAATATACGTAAAAATTCAAATGGCACTTAATAAAACCAAAGTAATTTAGAAAATGAACATTAAAATATTGGTATTTTAAAAAAAGTTGAAATCTGTGAAAGGTCAAAAATCATTAAAATATATAGATAGCACGTGTATTTTATCTGACTGTTGCTGTGTAGTTAGATATACATAATCATCTGTCAATTAAAATGCCAAAAATGGTCAAAAAGATCAAGAAATTTGATGGGTCAGAATGATCACTGGGAAAAGTGCTTGTTTGAGGACATTTGTTTACATGGTGTGAAGATGTGTCTGTTTGGCCTCACCTGCCTATGGCACTTGATTGATTTTATTAAAGAGCTAAAGGGACAAAAGCTAGGCAGGAGAGGATAAGCAAGACTTCTGGGCAGAGACAGGAACTCTGGAAACAAGAGAGGCCGAATTAAGCCAGTGAGGTTTGGAGCAAGTCAGACACATGGTACTGAGGAGAGCTAGAGAGTCAAGTGACAAAACACAGATTAGTAGAACTGGGATAATTTAAATTATAAGATCTACCTGGAAATAATCCTATGCGAAGACCAAACTTTCATTATTAATAAGAAGACTCTGTCATTATTGGGGGTCTGGCAAACCAAAGAAAATCTGACCACAGGTGCCTACTATGAAACCTGAGCCAACTCTAACAATTGTCCTTTGATTTCCACAGCATGACATAAGTGCACACACACACACACACACACACACATATATATATATATATATA